AACCAAACCAAACCAAACCAAACCAAACCAAACCAAACCAAACCAAAGCAAACCAAACCAAACCATACACAGTCGGAGAAGGAAAGGCTAGGGAAGAACTCTCACAGGAGGTTTGGAACTGTGGCCCAACCACACAAGACTTCCTGTGTTCTTTCTCCTCAGGCTGTCCAGGTGCTGTCTATCCACTGCTGTCCTTACACTTCCCGGGGACCCTTCCTCCTAGTGCACTGTAGATAGAGTTGAGCCCCTTATCTCTAATCTTTGGTAATCCCTCATTTGCTTTCAGATCTGAACCTCCCCACCCTGCTCTCTGTAGTCCCCAGAGCTGCCCACCCTCACCACAGCAGGTAGAGTATGTTGGCACACAAGTGCCTTGGGCTTAGGGGTACCATGAGCACACCTAGGTATTTGTCTCCACCTTAGGGGCAGGTAGGCAGTACCCCCTAGCCACACCCGTGGGCTCTGCAGTATGGAAGGGGACTGGGTAGGAACTTAACTGATTCACAGTCCTGCAAGCATAGATGCCTGTGGTCTTCCAGGTCTGGGCTCAGCAGTGACCACTTAGGGTGGAGCCTGTCACAGAGCTGGAAAGGAGAGATGGAGGGGTTCATTGGCAGGACTGGGGGGTAGAATTCTGGGCCTGGCAAGCGTTCTTACCCTGAGCAACTTCATGGCCCAGTGTGTGTAGAGGAAGATAAGAAAGTGAAACATCAGAACAAGATACTTCTCAGCAAGGCCCCTATTCCAGGAAATTGACCTAGAGGCTGCAGTTTTAGGGCATGCTTTATAGGTTAAGGTAAACCGGTTTCATAATTCTGTTCCCGCCTCCAAGAGCCACCACGCTCCAACCTTTGGCCCAATTAGTGAATAAAATCTTCCTTTGCTTCTGTTCCTGCTCTGCCCATACCCTGGTCACAGCACCCGCTGGACTGATTGGAGGGCTCCTAGAGAGGTAAGGGCTGAGCCTGGGGTCATCTTCTCTCTGAGAGACAGCAGGCAGAGGAGGGGAGGGCTGCTTCTGGGACCCCAATGGACAAGGAGACCAGGGGAACAAGAAGCTAGTCACTACCTGAGGAAAAATAGCTAACGGGGCTACCAGGGTTCTAAGCTCAAGCAGCTAGGAACTAGGCAGTCGGGCAGGGTCTCAGGTTCAGTTCCGTACATATGACAACCCACTGGGACTCTCACTGGCTCAGATGTGCCAGTGGGGATGGGGTGGGGGAACTACCTTCTAATCTACCCAAGTTCTCTTCTTTGGTTTGTTTTTTTTTATCCTGGGTATAATTATGAAAAGTCCAGAGATGGTGGATCCTTAGCAAGGAATTCACTAGCTAGCTGTTCTCCGGACAGAAATACTTCCAACAGCCAGCTAGATTCTGTGGAATTAAAAGGCCCCTGGGTCTGCCTCTCTGTACTGTGCCTACACTACTGAGATTGTCTGTCTTCTGTAGGGAGGACAGACGGAGCACGTCCTGCTAACCACTTTAGTCACTTGGACCTTGGAGGAGAGCAGGGCAATCTTTTCAGACATCACCACAGCAGAATCTGCCAAGGTACATTCCGGTCTTCCAGCTGGCTCTTGGCAGAGGAAGGCCGCTATGGGTCAAAGGTGGAATAATCAGGCTGGACACCGAAAAATACCCAGAGGGGTGGGGTGGGGTGGCCTCTGTGTCAGAGAGCTTGCTAGAATGTGAGTGGCCTGGGTCTCTCCCAACAGTGTGTGCGTGGTGGGGGTGGCGTGGGGGTGGAGGTGGGGCTGGGGGAATGGTAATGGTGTTCCGGTGTGTGCAGTGAGAGCACAAAGGCCTGCCGAGCATTCTCGAACATTCTCCTCAGCCAAACTTCTCATCTCTGCCTTCTTCTCCCGAGTGGTGACACTGTGTGGCTCAGTTTCTACTTGTCCTCTCTGCCTTTCTCACCTGGTTTGCAGCTTGAGCTGCTCCCTCCAGTCTCCGGCTGGACACTCACTCATCCCTTGCCTACATCCCATCAGTGGAATGGCTAATGGCGGCTTGAGCTCAACCGGCAGCCAGCCTCCATCTTGCCCCCCAACATATGAGCACCCGGCAGCCTTTGGAACAGTGCAGGGGTCAGCAGCACAGTTGTTCACATCTTGGGCTCTATATTGCTCTTGACTCTTATACCCCGATGTGCACAGGGGGAGTCTAAGGGTTCCAAGAACCTGGTACAAGCTGTCACCCATTCACTCCAAGGATAGCAATGCTATTCTTCCTGAGAGTCTTTTTGCTTCCTCTTCACAACCTGAAAATCATCATCCCCACACTGGCCCTCACACCCAAGGCCATCATGTCCCTAATATCCTTGCAAACAAGGGCTCTGGAGACCTTGGATCTGATATCTGGTCTCTGACAGTGACAAAGGTGGCTGACACAGAGTTCCTGTGCTCCTGGGATTTCCTGACTCTCCTGAGTCCTTTTGGTTTTGCACATGAACAACAAAGCCATTGGCTGAGCCAATCTCCAGCCCTCTTCCCTTCTGGAAGCCTAATAAATAGTTGGTTGTTCTGGCCACCCCTCCCCGACCCCAAGGGACTTTCCCACAGTCACCTCATTACAGAGCCCCATGGTTGAAAGGACTTTCCCATGAGCACCCGTGATCACCATGATCTCTATAGCGCTGTCCCATGGGAAATGCCGAGGGTCCTAGTTAGTTATACCGAGAACACGGAAGTCACTGGTTGTAGTTCTTGACACAACAGGGAAAGATCCTGAGGCTGGCAAGATAGTTCAGCAGGTGAATGTGTCTGCCACCATCTTGCCGGTCTGACTTTGATCCCTAGAACCCACATGGTGGAAGGGGAGAACCAGTTCCTACATTGTGCTAGGTGTTCCCTTGGGTGTGCTTGCTGCACATAGGCTATTCATTAATTAAAAAGCAATAGTTTGCAGATATTATGGTTAGTATAAACCATGGCTTGGTATGATTTCAATTCTGCATAGTCTAAAATCCTTTTCTACTTGAATTTTATAATGTTTTATGATATTAGCAACAGATTTGCTTTCTATATTCCAGTTAGAAGACAATCTGCCTCATAAGAACATGGCTTTGGTGCAAACACGAATGCTGAGCCATCAGACAGGGGAGGAATATGAGGCTGATGTTGAGTTGCAAAGGTAACCCATGGGGTGGGTTTCTTGGGAAGGAGGGGCTGGTTGTATCGAAAGCAGCATATGTTCTCTTGATTAGGAATAACCACTTGTCCTGGCCACTGTTCTATTGTTGTGAAGAGACACCACAACCAAGGCAACTCTTAAAAAGGAAAGCATTTAATTGGGGCTTGCTTACAGTTTTAGAGGTTAGTCCATTACCATCATGGTGGGGAGCCTGGCAGCACCCATGGCACTGGAGTAGTAGCCGAGAGCTTTATACCCTGATCCACAAGCAGGCAGAGAGAGAGAGAGAGAGAGACAGAGAGAGAGAGAGAGAAAGAGACAGAGAGAGAGAGAGAGACTGGGAGAGAGAGAGGCCTGGAGAGAACCTTTGAAACCTCAGAGCCCACCCCCAGTGACACACTTCCTTAACAAGGCCACACCCACTACAACAAAGCCACACCCCTTAATGCTTCTGATCCTTTCAAACAGTTCCACTCCCTAATAATTAAGTATTCAAATACATGAACCTGTGGGGGCCATTCTCATTCAAACCACCACACCACTCCAGGGTCACTGTGTGGGAAGAGGGATTCATCCTCTCAAAATCTCCATTATGCTGAGGAAATATTTTTCCCTGGGGAGAAAATACTCCATGAGGCTGACTATAATATTTTGGAGAGTTATGTAAACATTTAGTCAAATGTACAGTTGGTCTCCAAAGACAAGGACAAATGGAGCAGAGACCATGGATGGGGGGTGGGAGGGAAGGGAAACAACAGGGAGGGGGTCGGAAACCCTGTGACTACTTACGGAAATCACACTGGGACCAGCTATGAAGAGGCAGATCAACTTTACTTGGGGTAATTCAAGACTTATATAGTTTTGGGGACAGAGGTCAGAATATCCAGGATGGGCAAAGATCACTGGTTGAAGGTGCAAGGTACTGAGATACCTCATTAGCATGGGGAAGCATTCCAGAATCTCAGGTGCTAGATGGTCAGGTTCTTATCGGGAGAAAGGAAGTTGAACCTGTAATCTAGCTAAGGCCACCTGACGTTCTACAGATAGAGGCATGTGGTGGCGGTGGTGGAGTTTGAACTTCCCAGACAAGGTCAGAGAAGGGGAAGCCCTGCTGGTAAAGGGAGTCCTCCATTTTGCAAGGAGCTTGGAAGGCTATCTGGACAATGGTAGGCTTCAACCTTAATTAGCAGGGCACATGATAGATGTCACACATTAGTCCACAGCTGGACCCCAGTATCCTGCTGCAGCTTAAGGGAGGGCAACAAGGGAGGTGGAATTTCTCCTGAAAAATTCCTGAAAAAGACCTGAAGTAGGGGCTTATTCTATGCTGGGGACAGGACTACCCAACACAGAGGGTTCTGGACACAGCAGGACACAGCTTCCACTGCCTAAAGCCATGTCAAAAGGAGACATCATAGCCATGCAGCATGCACGCTGTAATGGTAGATCCATGTCATGTGATCCATGTCACGTGATCCATGTCAACCACCTCAGGAGGTGTGCCATGTAGTCAGGTTCAAGATGGTTACACCTTCTCGCACAAGGACCCACTTCCTTTTTCAAATCATCATTGTAGACACAGCCTCAATGGGAGACTTAGGCTCTGCCACATCCTGACCTACCCACATCCTGACCTAGCCGGGAGCCTCTGTGAGATCCCTTTTTTTTTTTAGGCACTGGGTTTCTCCTCTGGCTTTTCCCAGCTCTGAATTTATGGGGCTCTATGTTATCACCAGCCTTCTCTGCTCTCATAAGGAGTCCCATATGGGACAAGTGCAACTGTGTCACCAGACAGGAAAACTGGTAAGGTCAAGCAGATTAATGAACCCCAGCAATTCTCATAATTGAGAATGGAAGGCTTTTGAGTCTGCTCCTGAACAGGTGTATCAGCAGCATGTCCAGTGTTCCTTAAGGTCCTCTTAGTCGGGTATCGAGGTCCATGCTCCATGACAGGAATCTGTTCTCCTTTTCCTTCTCCTCCTCTTCTTCCTCCTCCTTCTCTTCTTCTTCCTCCTTTTCTTCCTCTTCCTCCTTTTTCTTCTTTTCTTTCTCTTCCTCCTCCTCTTCCTCCCCCTCTTCCCCTTCTTCATCCTCTCCCTCCTCTTCCTCCCCCTCCTCTTCTCCTTCCCTCCTGTGCTCAATACCTGGCTTCCCCACCTCATCCTTCTCCTTTCCTCAGGACCCTTCGCTCCCTCTCTGTCCCCATGTCCTTTTCTTGGTCAGGACAGTGGCATTCCCTCCTGCCCTTCTTCAGGAACAGAGCTCTAGTTCCTCCGAGCAGGGCTGGAAATGTCGCTCAGGACCATTCTGCCTGCTTCATGTCTCTGAGGAGGGCGGAGGTCACTCCCCGAGTTCTGCCCAGTTGTTCCTCTTCTGTGACTTCCTCTCCTTATTACACCAGTTGCTTCCTGCAAAAGTTGATTGAGCTCAGGGGCTTTTTAGGAAGATGTGGAAAGGGTTCAGAGTTAGGAGCGAAGCCCCCCTGGAGGCCACATGAGCTGGATAAGCATTTGGATCTTTCCCCTGGGACACTGAAGTCAAGTGTTTGTTTCCCTCACCCACAGGGACAAGGATGGAAGTCTGGATTTCACTGACAAGGAAGAAGGGGAAGTTGAAGATGATGCTCTGACAAATGAAGACTGGAAGTTTCTAAAACAGTTCCCGAGCTGGGAAAAGGAAGAGAAGAAGCGCATTAGAACGCTCTATGCCATCGCAGACCACATTGACAAAAGCCACCAAAAAGCTACCAAGACCAAAGTGGTGACTAACTCTGCATCAGTCATCTCTGGAGCCCTGAGTCTCCTGGGTTTGGCCTTGGCTCCAACAACGGCAGGGGCAAGCCTGGTACTCACTGCTGTTGGCAATGGTTTGGGGACAGTTGCCGGGGTCACCAACATCGTGACCAATGTGAGGGAAAACTCTCGAAATAAAAGAGCCCTAGCTCAGGCCAACAGCATCATGCCTAGCAGTGACCAGGAGCTTGAGGAGGTCAAGGGAGAGAAGACCACCTATGTCACAGCCACTGGTGAGCTTGTCCAAAAATGTGGGAGTGCCTGGGATAACATCAAAAAGCACCTCCGAGCCCTCCGGGTAACCAGAACACAACCTCACGTCACCTCAGCTGCCAAGAAGCTCATGACTACTGGCCAACTATCAACTCGAAGCAACAGGCAGGTGCAAAAGGCTTTTGGGGGCACAGCCCTGGCAATGACCAAAAGTGCTCTGATGTTCAAGAGTGCAACTGCTGCCTTGTCCCTTGGCCAGGACATATATACTCTCTGGGAGGACTGGAAGGATCTGAAGTCTGAAACCCCAACGGAGCTCGCAAAAGAGTTAAGAGCACGAGCTGGGAAACGGGAATTGGTGTTAGCAGAACTCACCCATCGCTATAAAAAGCTGAAGGTGAAGGCTGGATTTTTTTGTTTGTTTGTTTGTGTTTTTGTTTTTTGTTTTGTTTTTGTTTTTTCCAGACAGGGTTTCTTTGTGTAGCCCTGTTGGTCCTGGAACTCACTCTGTAGGCCAGGCTGCCCTCGAACTCAGAAATCCGCCTGTTTCTGCCTCCTAAGTGCTGGGATTAAAGGCGTGCGCCAGCACTGCCTGTAGGCATAACATGGGATATGTAGAGCCATGTAGATGTTATGTTGTGAAGTCTGCAGAGATGTCTCTCACCACCTTTCCAAGCTGTGATAAAGACCATGATCAAAGGGTTTATTTGGTTTACACATCCTAAGTCACAGTCCACTGAGGGAAGCCATGGCAGTGAAAACCCAATCCTACTCCACTTTGGGACTAGCCTCCATCTTAAAGAAAAACACAAATAAATAAGGCCGGAGAATGACCTGCTGCAGAACCCAAGCTGTGCCCACATACCAGGATGGACCCCACGGCTTGCCTTGGCCAGAGTTACTCCTTAGCTACTTCCTAACAACAGTTAATCAAAGATTAGTCTGATTGTCTCAGATGTACTTTCAGACTGTTCGTGATTGTAAACAGTCTTGCTTCAGAGCACCCACCTGTCGGCTTACAGTCATTCTATTAGATGCTTGCCAGACTGGACCCCCCTCTCTCACCCCCTCACTTGGCTCCTGTTTTCCTATAAGAACTTGTCCTGATGAGGGTTCAAGGCTACTCCACCTTCCTTTCCTGTCTTGCTGTGTCAGGGTTGGGTTGGAGGAGAGCCCAGGCCCGAGCTTGTAATAAAGAGACACTAATGGCATTACTTCAGAAACGGCTCCTTGGTGGTCTTTTGGGGCTCACGAACACCTCCTTTCCAGGCACAACAACAGGAGTTCAGGGGAGGAACCTGCATGCAGGAACTCAAGCAGAAACCAAGGAGGAACGGTGCTTCCTGGCTTGCTCCCACTCCATGGCTGTCTCCCTTGCTTTCTTATGCTACCCAGGACCACCTCCCAGGAATGGCCCCACCCACAGTAAACCAGACCCTCCCACATCAGTCACTAATCAAGAAAACACCCTACAGACTTGCCTATAGGTGATCTGATAGAGGGATTTTTTTTTC